TCTGTGAAGATTCAACACGATGTGGCAGAAGAAGTAATTTGCCAAACCGAACACTAAACGCATCACATGAATTCCTTGGGCTTTTTTGAAGAAATCGCTTGTTGCCGATGTACGTTGGACTTTTTAAACACTGGAAGCCTTGGTACACTCGAATACGTTGTCACGGACGAAATCTTTGGCGGCCCCGCTGGTCGCAGCATAGCACACAAGAAACTAGGCCGGTAATAGGGAGTTTTCGTAGACCGCGCTACCCCCTCCGCTAAGCGTTCCGCAACGAAGAAGTCGCTACTGCGCCTGCGCGCCGATAGCCTTGACTGTGGAGTTCCCGCTATCGTAGCGGATTGCGGAGGGCCTTGCGGGACGGCGAAAACGATCTACGAAAACTCCCTAATCAGACATTTCCGGATTGGAAAGAGCTACTACGTGACCTGTGAAACCTTTGCCACATGATCACGCTCCTGCCATTACCCGCGCCCAGACAGCGGACTCAAGGCATAAAAAAGCCTCCGGTTCATCGGTCCGACGACTGCGTAGCCTGTTCCACGCTTTCAGCTTAGGGAGAGAAAGAAAAGAGAGGAGTATACGAAAATAGCAGCTCCTTCAAGGCCAAAAGTGGTCGCCCTCGCGAAGGCTTATCTTCAGGGTTGTCCCAACAATAAACGCAGCTAGAGGATTTGTCCCCTATATCCTCTTGAAAGTTCGACCCAAAGTTAATAGCGCAGTGGATGCTACCCGTGGCCTTGGCCTTCAGGCAGGTGCCGTGCTCCGCCTTATCTCTAGCTTGGAGACTTTAGTCATGTGATCCTACCCGGAGACCCGATTGGCCTAAAACAAGCATAGCGTTCACTCTACTGTCAATACCGAGTGAACAGAACAGTTCCATACTTCCTAAGAAACTGACCAACCCAAAAGTGACCCCCAAGAGGGCATCCAAGCACACGCTGGTCGGGGCGCGTGGCTAGCGTGGCGGTGCACTGATACACCTAGAGGTTTTTAAGGGAGAGGAGGATGCTCATTGTCGGTGCACAAATACACTGGCTGGGCAACTGAGGGTGCATCTTTCAGGAAACGGGTGCATGTGCTGCTGATACACCCGACTACACCCGTTTTTTCTTAGAGTGCGCTCATACATGAGACAACCATACACTCAATTTACCCTCGAATCTGTGGCGGGTTTTAATGCCAGGGCGATATTTAGAGCGGAAGAGGTCAATAACACGGCCGCGATTGTTCAAACAGCGTTCAAAAGCCATGTTGTTCTTGGAAAAGTGTTGGTCTATATTAAGTATAGTTAGAAAGTAACATGTATTCGTCTTTCCTCCGTGTCGTGTAGTGTTGCGGTCAGAGGAGTCTGGCCGTAACAATACTAGAAGGAAAGGAAGCCTAGAACTAATTTTTGTCGCGGACGGCGCTTTTGTTGTGGCGGTAACGAGGTCTCTGTGACCTCGACCATGTGGTGCTGCCACGTGCCTTGCTCCGACGCACTTATTGGGTCGGAGGGCCGCAGCCTCCGCAGTTCGCCAAGTTATCGTGAAACTGAGTATAACACTCACTGAACTGTTCTGTGGAACCAGTTTGTTGAAAACTTTCTTTCCCGACACTGTGAATGAACTGAACAAGCTTCCCAAGGGTGTTGTTATACTCCGCGACAACTTTTCTTGGCAGTGCAGTGGAGGGTACCTCCCGCGTCCCTTCTCCCATTTTTAGTGTGCGCAGGCTCTCCTCCTCCCCCATTTCCGGGGAGAGGAGGAGAGCCTCCGTACACTCAGAATGGGAGAGGGGACGCGGGACGTACCTTCCACTGCATTGCCAAGAAAAGTTGTAGCGGAGTATAGTTCGGTGTCACTTGTATACTTTTAGTGATGCTCTATAGACCTTTCCAAAAAGAGCGCTCTAGCCGCCGCCATTTTGCGAATCGAGCGACCCCTATCAGCCAGAAATTCCTGGCACCCGCCTGAGCTGTGGAAACCCGGTCAGCGCGACTCCCCACCTGCATTTTGCATTCGGAGTTCGCCGGCTTTTCTTGGAAGTTTTTACTTTATTCGTCTGTTTAGGATGCTTACCCTTTGTATGTTATCTTACACTGTGAGGACCAGAGAATACCAGGGCTCGTAGCCTGCTCGGCCTTCGCAGGAAACGAACGAAGAGAGCGAACGTCAAGCCGCCCGCGACGCAGGCAGTTCGACGTTCTTGGAGGATTATTTCCGTCGAGATAATCTCCAAAAAGCCTTCCAGGCTGTGTTCCGGGTCTTCGCGAAAAATAGCTGATCGAGTCAGGTCCGGGGTGTGGGGACAGAATAGACACGTTCATTCGTTTGCTTTGAAGCTGTGCAAAAAAGCTGCTCTCCTCTACATGTTCCCCAAAACACGCCGGATTCCGTCCGATTGTCGTGAAGTGACTATCGTCGACACTGTATATTGGATATGCTGTGTTATTTGAGACCTTTCTCAAAATCCTGTTCGGATAACGCGGCACCGTGGGGTACGTATATTTTTTGTTCGATTGATGAGACTCATTGAATTTTATGTTGTGGGCGGGGAATGTCCATGCAGTTCGGATATCCTGTGTGGTCAAATATTTTGACCTTTATAGATTGACACGCCTGAGTGTACGGTGCCGTAAAACGATGAACATAAAATGAAACAAACATATCCTTGCATTTGTTCTGTCGCGCACGGACTCACCAAAACAGCTTTCATTTCTTTGTCTTTGTTCCCAAAAATAGAGCACTGCTTCCTTAAAGACCTTTATAAATTATGTTCGCCACAAAATACAAAAGAAAAAAGAAAACGCGGCAATTCAGCCGCTACCAGCGTCCGGAATTGCGCCTACGCAGGCTGCCACTGCCCGCTGACGAGAAACTCCACAGCTCAGCGCAGTCGGGCAACACTGACGTACACTCTCAAAACCAGGGACGCGCGCTGCAAGTCGATTCGTTTGAGACTGCCGCTGGAAAGGTCTATAGGAGCACTTTGTCGCGTAGCTAATCCACTGTCCTGTTATTTATCCATGGTTACCTTGGTATGGTGCACGGCTACACTTGTACGACTCCCTCTTTTCGCGTTCAAAGTGAATGCTGGCTGTATAGAGAAATAAATAAATAAATAACCAAAATAATTGTTCTTTGAAACAATAAGAAGCAGATATGGGCTCAATTATTCAACATGACAGGGCGCTCTTACACCACGTACAATTCCCCCAAATACCTCAATTTCTCCATTCTCACGTCTACTTAGAAGCTATTCAAGGAACAAAGATCAGTCTCTCTGTGGTAATATCAGTTGATTTTCAATCGTTATATGTCCCGCCGTGAGTTCAACTTTATTCGTTTGCTTGAACCTCAAACCGCAGTGAGCTTGTATTCGAAGGCCACTGTGCGTCTATACCATTTCTTCAGTCTTTGTTTTCTTCCTCCTTCCTCGAGTGATGCCGATCGCCGAGCTCATTAAGGCGGCCCTTGCTAATGAGCGAAGCGCGTCAACCTAAACAAGCTGTGGTTAGCAGTTTTCGATAAACGTTGGACCCAGATTGGACTTTTTTTTTTTTCTTGTGGTTTTTGTTGTAACACTTTGCAGTTCTTTTTAATCTTCAGGCATGGCGTGCTACAAATGTGGTGGGCCCCTTCATTAGGGTGGTTTCCCGAAACCTCGTTACATTTCCGTCAAGCCCACTGCCATCATTCATGCTGGTGAACCTTCTCCGCCATATTCATCACTTGTTTGAATGTCATGGTTCTTAATTGGTATAGTTTTAGGTCGGTAGCCTCATAGGCCCAACAGCGCTGAAGGTCGATACCCGGGTCAGACGTGCACATTAAGGGCCTTCAGAACGAACTCCTTTAAAGAATCGCCAAATTAACTTGCGATCTTGTGCTTATCAACAGTGGCGTACCAACTTATTCTGAGTGGGGGGGGGGGGGGCAAACCAGACCCCCCCCCAGTGCCGGCCTTGGTATCCCTTGGGTGCCGCCGGCCAGTGTTTGCCCTGCCCAGTGGCGGCTGTTCCAGGGGGGGGGGGGGGCAAAACACATGCCTTGCCCCCCCCCCCCCCCTCTGAGAAGTGGGGGGGGGGGGGGGGGGCAAACGCCCCCCTTGCCCCCTCGGTTGGTACGCCCATGCTTATCAACACGCGTTAGTTCGGCGACCCTTTAAAGGAGTTCGTTCTGAAGGCACTTAAAGGGCAACTCCGGCCAAAACTCAAAATGAATTAAATTACTGGTATCGCTTTAGTGACACAAAATACGACCCCAGCCAAAATTTCACGTCCGTGGGACGCCGCATTCTCAACTAATGCCGATAATAAAAATGCGACCCGCCGCGAGCCGCTGCTCCTTAGCGGGCGGCCAGCGGGTTGCCGATCGCTAAAGCAACATTGGGCCGTGATGTCAACATCGTTCTCTTTTTTTCCCCCGTTCCGGACGGGCGCACGGCGCAGCCGTCGCGCGCGCTTCTTTGTGCCGCTACTACCGCTACTTCGGCTTGTGATTGCGTGTTTAGCCGTTGCTTTTACCTGTAGCCCGTGTAGCTTCGGTATAGCCTTTTGTTTATTTGTTTGTGAGGACTTCAAGACTTGTTTTAGCGAGCAACTCGGTGCGCCCAAGACTGCCCAGCTGTTCCTCGAAAGATGCCGAGTACAACTTGTAGCGCTGTGGGCTGCTCCAACAACCCGCTGCGCAACACGGAGGTGCTTTTTTACAAGTTTCCAACGGATCGGAAATTGGAGAAGGTGTGGGTGAACGTTGTTCGACGAGTGGACTTTGGAAAGCATTGGACGCCGACCCCCAGATCGAAGCTCTGCTCCGATCATTTTTCGCCGGAAAGTTACGAACGAAACCTACAGGTGTTGGTTGCTTGTAGCTTGTCAGCGAAGGGGTCGAGGCTTAAAAAGGATGCCGTGCCGTCGCTCTTTGCCCACCGTACATGTACAGAAAAGGTAAACATGATAAAAGTATCCAAGTCAATAAATAAGACAGTCATAGGGACGGTGCAAACGTAACTCAAGCCCCGACCAGGGCGCCCCTTGTGGCAAACGGGCCGTTGCGATCGGGGAAGCTGCTGGAGTCGCCGCGTTGACGCTGCGTTGCTGTGGGCTACAAACCGTGGTTTTCGAGATACCTGTTCCCGCTTCGAAGAGCAAGAATAATTGCTGTGTGGTTGGATGTACCAGTAGTTATAAAAACTCGGCTGATACTAAGTTTTACGGCTTTCCATCGAAGCCGTACGAGATTGAGCGCCGAGCGACTTGGATACGACTCGTGCGTCGATTCAAGTGAGTGGTGTTTTTCACATCGTAGTTCGCGCTGGTGCTTTACACAGTAGGCGATTCATATAACTATCTTTTTTTTCATTTCTAGCGATGACGGAACCGCCTGGGCGCCCACAGGGAATTCTAAAATTTGCAGTAAGCATTTTGTGGGCAATGCGAAGCGGAACGAACAAGCTCACCCTAGCTACAACCCATCCATTTTCCCGTCGGTCTACAGAAAAAGAGTGGTGTCAGGAATTGCAGAACGGCATGACAGGTGATTTCCCGTTTTCTTTTTTTAATTTTTTTTTTTTTGTTTTACGAAGTGTGGTTATGCAGCTAGCTATTCTTCGTCTCACATTAGCATGGACTAACCACAGGCTGTACTGGCGCGAGACGGTTGCCTTGACTGGCGCTCGCACTGCCCGAGCGCCCGTACTCCCGCCGAGACGTTAACCAAAGCAATTAGCCCGTGCTTCTAAGTCGCCAACAGTAATCCATGCTAAAATTAGTTTTTTTTTTTTTTTTTTATAGTCTACTTTGTAAAGCCTGGTTCAGACAGTTGCGTTTGACTGCGTTTCACTGCGTTGCGGCTGCAAGAAACCAGGACATCCCTGCTGCTTATATCGCGTGCCAAGATGATTCCTTGAATTGGATTTCACGCTTCATACGAAGCACAGATGTACCGGTGACTCGCTTTCGGTTCTCCACGCAACGCAGTCAAACGCAAGTGTCTGAACCGGCCTTAAGGAGTTGGCGATGATTAGGGTAGTGAAGTGATCACCAAAACTTTGCTTTGCTTTTACAGGCAACATAGAAGGGACACACAGCAAAGGGTTTCAATGCCACGAACAGACGCACCTGAAGTAGATATGACGATGGAAGACCAGGCAACAGAGCAGTCGGCACCTCTTTCATTTACGGCTGATGTAAGCACAAGTTGTACCACATCCCTTCTTGCATGTACAGGATTGGCAGTTTGCATGTGGCAAGCATGTACGCAAAGTGGACCTCAAGTTTGACCAGCTGTCCTTATCCTTAGGCTCTCCTGGGGACAATTTTGAGGGACACCAGCTGCAGCTGCAGGTTTTCTTTTCAACTTCCTAAATCTAATTTAAGACTTGCTGAGAGTGAGAGGTCGGTCGGCGACTTAAAAAGCTGGAACATTATTGTGAAATATGTACTATCAGGGAAAAATGAAATACGAACAGAGGAGCGCGTTGGCGCTCTGTACAGGCTGCGCCGCCTTGAAGTGAGCTTGGGGGTGAAGGTGTGTGGCCTACTCCGACATGTATACGCCCCTCGCTCGGCGCTTCCCAAGCTTCGGCATTGCTCGTCTTGTTGTGCTACAAGCTATCACCTCTATCGTTGCTCACTCAACGCGTGCGGCACAAGGAAGCTGCGCAAGCGAAAAGGAGAAAACGCTGCGGGCGCACTCGGCCTGCGTGCACGCAAGCTGCTACAAGCGGTGAGCTTCCTTGCGCCACATGCGTCGAGCGAGCAACGATAGCGGTGATAGCTTTCAGTGCACCAAAAGGCGCAATGCCGAAGCTTGGGAAGCGCCGAGCGAGGGGCATATACACATCGGAGTAGGCCACACGCCCTCGGCCCCAGGTTCACTTCAGGGCGGCGCAGCCTGTACTGGAAGCCACTTGCTCCTCTGTTTGTATTTAATTTTTCCCCGATATAGTACTTAAGGCAGGCACATGACCAGCGCTGCGCGCCCCCCCCCCCCCCCCCCCCCCCAATTCCTCGGTCTTGCTGGGACCTCCTATCCCTCCTCCCCCATCTATCACGTTCTGCCAGGGGCAGGCCCACCAGGAATAAATTCATGGCTATGTGCCTGACTAAAGGGCACAAAAATTATTCATAAACAAGCTTTATCTGTTGGTGTAAGTTTCGGTCTGCAGTCCTCGTTCATCAGCTACACTGCAGAAGCTACAGGTATGACTGAGTAAGTGACAAAGTGCTCCCACAGATAAGGCCCTTTGTTGTCTCCTTTGCAAATCTAGGTGTGATGCTTTACTTGTGGTTGCCGAGGGTCCCATTCCTGATTTCTTTTCAACCAGCATTTATGAACAAACTACCTTCTAGTATCCTAAATTTAAGAGCAAAATACAAGCTCAAGAAAGCCCTGAGAAATTTTAGGTTGTAAAGTGCTCACTAGTTTGCTTTTGTTATTCTAATTTCTTTGTGTGGATTTTATTTTACATGTATTCTTTTGCAAACGGCTGGTTTCACTTATTGTAAGACGCTGCCAGTCAAGCCCAATGTGACTTAGGCAGGTCTGACTTAACGTATGTTTTGTTCATTTGCAATAAATTATTTAAAAAAATGGGCTACTCGGGTTTCCTCAAGGGCCACAATGACTGCTCTTAAAGGAGTGCGTATGAGGTGTACACACCACAAAAACAACCTTTGGACTGTATGTTAGAGATCCCCAGGTGGGTTAAATTAACTCTTAATACTTTACTGTGGCATATCGGCACTTCAGTATCCTAGGTAGGGATCCCAGAATATAATTTTTTTTTAACTCGAGGTTAGCGAAATGAGAACTGTGATATGAATGTCTCGGCTGACCATTAAAGTATTACTTATAATTGACTTTGATGGCTAAAAGTAACAGTGTCTCGTTCTTGTGCATCTTTGTAGGCTTGCACCATGACAGAGGAAGAAGGAACACTCTTCTCTCCCTGCACCGTGTTCCTCTGCTGCAACGTGGGGCAAGATGCTGCAACCTTCATTTGTCATAATGTAACTAAAGACAAAGGAAGTGGGCCGGACCAAGTGTCATTTCAGGACGAGTGTGTAGGGCCGGCGTACAAAGAGCCCTGCTTTACTGGCTACGACTGTGTTCGTCAGGAAGAGGCAAAACTGGCAAGCTTAAGCGCCACATCCTTTTCACTTTTCGCTCTGTTGTTAAGCCTGCTCCCAGATGCCGCGAGAAGGCAGAATGAAATTTCCGCTGAGAATCGTCTCCTGCTATTTCTGATCAAGCTCAAGCACAATGTTCCCTTTTCTTGTTTAGGTGTTCTGTTTAATGTGCATCGGACAACAGCAGCACGAATGTTCAAGATGACGCTTGAAGCCCTCTGTGCCAGAACGAAAGACTGGATTTGGTGGCCTAGCAGGGCAGCTATACAGGCCACCATGCCAGCAAGCTTCAGGGTGCTCTATCCATTTTGCAGAGTCACCATTGACTGTACAGAAATGAGAGTAGAAATGCCTCCGTCAGTTGAGGAGCAAAATCTGTGGTATTCACAATACAAGGGATACTTTACTGTGAAGTATTTGATTGGGATATCGCCCAGCGGACTAGTAACATTCCTTTCGAATGGGTACGGAGGGCGCACAAGTGATGCCGCCATTACAATAGAGTCTGCTTTCCTGCGCAAGCTGCAGCCTAATGACATTGTCTTGGCCGACAAAGGATTCCCAGGTATTGTGACCGGTGTTGGTGCCCAGAATGCAACATTGGTGATGCCGCCGTTTGCGTCGGGTGTACAATTCACAGAGGTTGAGGTCAACTCGACATATGAAACGGCCTCTGTCCGGATCCATGTCGAAAGAGTTATTCAAAGGGTTAAGATTTACAGTATCACTCAGCGTGTTTCGCATCACCTCATCCCACACTTGGACAACGTCATGCATATTTTGTGTGTTCTAACAAATCTACGGCCGGGAATATTTAAGCCACGGTAACTGGGACATAGCTATTGGGGGCAGTGTCTGGCATTATGAAAAGAAAAACATCTTAGTGTAAACTCGAGGCTGCAGTTGGCAGGGGTACTATTCATGGTTTGGTCAATCACATATGGTTGTGATACTGAATGCACTTAAGGAAGTGCACATTTCTTGGCTACATTTACCGTGTCCGACTCTCTTTGGAACAATATGGAAGTTTCCATAACATGCACAGCACCCACACCAGCCACTGCCTGAGCTACATGCTTCAGGTGTTTTCTTTTTCAGATTGTCAGGAGCTGTACCTGGACACGATTTGTGCAAACACAGCAGTGATGCTTTTATTTTCATTTGGCTTGGGCAGAGTATGACATGCAACACTTCAAAGCTTGTTCGTAAAGCTACTGGCTCACTTTCCCTGAAGTGCGGCAAGTTCTTGAATATAATGTGTGAAATAAAACGATCTCAGCTTCGGTATAGCGTCCGAGAGAAATTCTTCATCACGCTTGATGTGCAGCGTCTTTTTGTCTACGGAGCAGTACAGAAAGAGATCGCACTCATCTAACTGCAGGACATACATGCAGATCTGTATCTGTGTATAGTATGTGTGAGACTTTCGCAACACGATATCTTTCCTCTGCTTGCATTCAGCTAGATACGCTAGGAGCGGTTTCTCTGTCAGAGGTTTCTTCCAGCGGCTGGAGGGGCACTTGATCTCAAGGAGCATGACATTTCCGTCCTCGTTCCTGCACAGAGAAGCAAGGATGAGCATGAGCCAGCAATTTTTGATACGAGAGAAATTTGCCGCCAATTGAAATGTCCTGGGGGAGGGATGGCGCCGTATTTTGCATGAATGTGCTAAACATAGCATGCATGTTTCTTAACTGGTGCTTCACTATGGTCGCACAAGAACACCATATGCCAGCTATGCTTTTACAATGCAAACGTTTTTGATGAGAGCATTTAGACAGCGCGACATTAGCTTCCGTTGGCGTGGCGACATTGAAACGGGCAGGGATGGAGATTGAACCCAGGATCTCTGCATCCTGCAGCACGAGGTTTTGCTTCCTATCCGCCTAGGTTCAGACCTGTAGTGTAAAAGCCCGGCTGGCCCTCCGTTTCAATGCTTTTACAGCTAATAATTAACTCCATGGATCAGCAGCTTGTCTTTGCAACAGACGAAGGGAATAAAAAGGCCAGTTTGGTAAGTACCGAAAGAGTCCATCTGGAGAACACCCCAGCCAGGGATCTTGCGGCATCACCACAAGCCCCAGCTGGTGCACCTTGAGGTTCCGCGTTTCTTCGAACTTGGCTCGGGCTTCTGGCTCGTACCGTTGTCTATGTGCTGTTGCTTGGGAAGTAAATGGCGCATCCAGCACCATGTTCTTGGCAACCTCTCGTAGGTCCCCTTTGCAACGTATAACTTTGTGTGCCTCCGGGTGGGAAAAGAAAAACATAATTGTAATGCAATTTATTGATTACAGAGCTCACATAGCTTCTCTAGATTTCAAGCATTATTAGTGAGCTTGTCTCCTTTCTTTGCACAAAAATGAGTCCTGACTCGTTCCCCCTGCAATTATGGGTGCCTTGGAGTCATTCTCCTTTTAGGCATGGCTGGCACAATTGTGATAAAAACGATGCATACCTTTGTTGCCGTTATACGAAGCAGCCTTTCTTTCCGCCACATGTCCTTCGAGAGACTGGTGTCTCTGCAGATATCCCCGATTCTCGTCAACGAAGCAGAGACGCTGCTATCATAAACAGCCCTCTCAGTGATTGTCAGGCTGTAAGACAATATTTCAGACAAATTAGAAGGTCAACATTGTCATTTGTGCATTGGAGCTTACCTGGCCAAAAATGTTTCCTCTTTTTGAACCGGCTTTCCGGAGTCAAACATCATCACAAAGTTTCGGTAGCGGAATCCTTCCTGTGGCCAGTCGAAGAGCTCCAGGACATCCGGTGACAGTGGCCTTTCAAATGGCAGAGGCTGTCCCTCATCGTGGGAGCACGTTTCTTCAGCCCGTAGCATGTCGGTGAGGGGGCAGTCCAAGTCTGGGAAAAACTTCCCCACGTGGCTCACAGCAAGTGCAGGCACGGAAACCGACACACCTGTAAACGTGGTTAAGTTAGAATGCTTACATACTCGGCAATCAATCTTGTGAATGAAATAAGGGCGTCCACAGAAACCCAGCTCTTGAGAGGTAAGGTATTGGGAAGGGGGGGGGGGAGAGAGGAGGGGACTTATCCCTACGTCTATACATTGCTCAGTATGAATGTACGAAATGACTTAAAGCCCCCGTACAGTACCGTACCCCCTTCCCTTCCCCCCCCCCCCTTCCCTTCCCCCCCCCCCCCCCCCCCCCCTTCGTCTTCTGGACCAGTTGCACGAGCACGAACCTTTCCGCGAGTTCGGAGTCACTCGAGAAAACTTGGGATATGCTTTCTTCGAGGAAGGAATGCCCCAGCTCCTTGGGCAACTCGTCTTGGAAGTCGCGGCATCTCTTTCCAAGTACACGGCGACCGCGGCGGCGTGTTTACATTTTCCGGCGACGCCAGCACGGCAGTCGCATTTCGCAAGAACGATCGTCCTGTCCTTGTCCAGCTGAATAGAAACACAACAAATCATCCTACGTTAGCACAGCTTATTTGAAGACTACCAATAAAGCAGATCTTTTCTTAGGCTTACCTGTAGCTCGATGTGTTTCCCGGCCGCGTTCAGCTTGGTCTGCGGAGTACAGCGAGCCGTGATCTCCACGTGTGTGTCGTAGTGTACCTCCCGTACCTCATATACATGTCCAGATTCATAAAGAAGCTGTCCCTTCACCAGATTAGCACCGCGGAAAAAGCTTTCTGGATCCTGAACTGCTTTAAATCCCGTCGTAATGACGACGGGAACACACATCACACCGCAGTTCGTCGCCATCGCACCCCGATGACTTTGCGCAGACTGCCGCTAGGTGCAGTCGAACAATAGGCGATCGAAGCGACCCGGTCGGCTTGCACTCTTCCTATTGTCAAGTGCAGTGTTGAAGATTGAGCATTCACGCTCTATTGAATGTCTGTTGAATGGGGAATGGTGGGCATGTAGAGTACAACCACTAACTAGCTCCAATCACTGAAGTTTATAATGAAAAGGAAAACAATGTTCTGCTTTGCGTCACTGCCTGTTTACTATGCAATCTCGTGCGTAGTATTCAGGACCGTAACGACTACTAGCGAACAGCCGGCGCGTGAAGCTCATGAGATATAAACATTCGCCTCCCAATCGTTCGAACCCGTTACGCAGCAGTATTAATTAACATTGGGCTTGTGAATACCACAAGGGACTTTAAAGAAATCGCGAAAGTTCGGATTTGTAAGTTACAACTCTCTAATTTACCTGAGTTCGGCTGGAGGTAAATATAATATTTAAAAATGCAAAAAAGCAAAAAAAAAAAAAACACTTGCCTTCGTCAGGAGTTAAGAAGGAAAACTTAAAATCCTATGTATTCCAATAATGTGATGCTCTCACGAGGGCCTTAAAGGGCATATGAAAAAATGAATAAAAAAAATTGTTGTGGGTGGGCGTGGGAATGCGGAAAAGGGGAAAGAAAGTGTTCTCACCTTGCAAACTTTCTCTGTTTTCCTTTATCACCTACAAAAACTTTTGCTAGCTTTGAGAAGAAAATGACTGCCCAAAGAACTTTTTTTTTTTTTTAAGTGCGGCAAGTTTTTATTTTTTTTATTTTTACAAAGCTTCACTACCTGGACGAACTTATGTGGTGAATTAGTGTCGCAGCTTGCAAATTTGGCTTTTACGCGCCTGAGGAAAAGAGAACGAAAAATCAGACGTCTACAGCTTAGCACACGTCTGTTCGGGCGTCGCGGCCCGCGCCGGAGAGCCTGAAACCTTCGTGTCTGGGACTGACCCGCAGTGCGAAAGCGAGAGGGCCCCCAGTACTGTACGTCACTGGCAGCGCGGCGTAGAGCAACGCCGCTCCGTCCACGGAGCCCCGATGACAATTTAGGCCTAGCGACGAGTGCGGGAGACCGCACGCACGCCGACAGCTTCCGAGTACGGCACCGAACGAGTTCACTCGTTTTCCAGTCGCTAGCTTTTGGTTATACAAGCAACAAATACGGCACGGCATAGCGCGCGTGCGGCGGCGGCCGCCGTGTACGGCACGGAACGAGTTGACGGGTTTTCCAGTCGCTAGCTTTTGGGTAGACGCACTAACTCTTGCTACATATGCTGGATAACTACCACGTATACAGAATTAAAACAAAATTATCTTACCTCCTATTTTAGACGGCTAGCGCAACAGAGGTAGGTGCCGCTTGGCCTGCGTACTCGTTGAGCGAGAACGATCTTGACGTCACGTCCACATGGCGGCTGTTTTCCAGTGTTGCCGGAACCTCGAGTGGCTAGTTTCGGTTTTGTCAGCCGCGCCCCAAACAAAACTTTGAGACGTCGATATCTTTAAAACTACGCACAATAACGAGAAAAAAAATACACCTTGCAATTCAGGGGCGCTGACTGCACTACTAACAGCCATAATCCCAATATCGAAAGTATGGACCGGAGTTGCCCTCGTCTGGCACTTAACGTGCCCACCGGCACTTCAGTCACATAGAGCATATGTGACTGATGTGCCAGTGGCTGAAGTGCCCGGTTCTCAAATGCCCTTGACTGAAGCGGCGATCGCTTAAGCTGTTAAGCGTCGGTCGCGTTAGCCCCATTCGCGTAAGCTCCGGTCGCGTATGCGCCGGTTGCAAAGGCTCGTAAGTGCCGGAATTGAAGCTGACCGACCTGAAGTCCTTGACGTCGTCCTCGACGTCATTTCGCATTCGCATTTTCAGCTCGTTGCTCGCCCTCCCGCGGCGGAAACGCGAAGCGCTCTAGTGATGGTGCCCCAATAGGCTACTTCCATAAAGCCCTGCATGCAACACGGCGCGCGTTGCACTCTGTGAACTAATTGGCCAGGGAGGAGAGTGGCATGGTTTCGGTTTCGATCGACACGTCGACAAGAGATTACACACTACGTGGACTATTAACGGCTGTTATCTCATGATTTCTGGTCCCGAGAGCGTCATTTCTGGTCTCTAAACTAACCTAAATGGCCAGACCTCGAAGCTTTAGCACAAGCCCGAGACGTATAGCTTGTCTTAACGCATGCTTGTTGTATTTTTGTACTTGAGCCTTTCTGTTAGCGTTCCAATCGAGGTATGTGGACGAGCCAGTGCTGGGAATGTCGACGCTGCGGAGCTCGGGGATCTTGCTTACGTACGAATCAACAAGCTGTAGCGACCAAAAAGTATGCACACATCGAGCTCGCGCCTTTAAATTGGTGTTGTTGATCAGGAAGTTTGTTTGTTTGGTGCGTCCATAGACGAAATATTAATTTTTGCGATTACTGTATCCTTAATACGCCTGTGTACGCGAGGTAAAACTCGGAGGCGCCATTGAAAAGCTCAATTATAACACATCTCTTATCTCTTATCTGTACTGACCCGCAGCACTGCACGAAGCGAAAAGCCCCCACTTGCATTTCACTAATATTCAACATCGCGTATGCGCGTAAAGTTTTCCTGCCAATCATATAGGCACATTCGCACATACAAACTGTTTTAAGAAAGCAAAAGTCGAGCACTTGTGTGAAGAATGTCGCACCATTCGCCAGAAGTACGCCAGACGGGCATGAACCCCTATGCGATGCGCCAAACGAACGAAATTATTCAAAGTGCATTTGACGTTTGCTAATGGCCATAATATTTGTTATGTGATTGCTTTCTTCCTGCCTGAGTATGCCGAGATAATTTCAGGCACAACGCTCAGGCACAGCTCTTGAGCGTCAGTAAAAGCTCGTCCAAAAAGGCTTAGCGAGGAGTAGGGGACGCTTGTTAGGGCCTCCGTCGTATAGCTAGCCGATCTCTGCGTTTGAGAAAACTTAATCTTTTATCAGCATAAACTTTGATTGGGAGATATATGATGACACAAGGAAGACATTATAGTAACTATATAGTGAGGTCGAATTTATAGCGTTTCTTTAAAAGTTCATGCGTCAATGCTGGACTCAACTTTGATACTCCTGTGAGGATGCGGCTTTCTTTTCGCCCAATGAAGTAACAAGAAGCGGACGTTTGGCAAATAAAATACGTGTAATGCTCCAGGTGACCGAATTTCACCTGTAGTTCACTGCTACTAGACGGGATTACTGACACGAGCTCAAAGATGCACTCGTGGGGTGAGGTGACTAAGCCACGTCTTACTACGTCTGCATTCGCACGCACAATATCCGGTGTTTCGGGAACCATGGAAAGTGCCCCGGTCTTCGTTTTTGTATCGCTCGAGAATGAGTGTATTGTACGTTCGTAAAAAAGTCAGATAATCGAAAACGCAAGCAGCGCGTTCGGTCGCGGCGTGATAGCACGAGATGAATCTGCACAGTCGAAACCGAAACTGAGTGGCCAACTAGTTCCCAGAGTGCACTGCGTGGTATTTCGCCGCAATGGGGCGCGTCGGTTTTGGAAGAAGTCCATTCAATTGCTCAGCGGGCACGGCGGAACTGCTCGCGATCATGACTCGCAAAATGTAATTTCGGAATGCAAAAAAAAACAAAAAAACTCTTCACTGTCTTAATGTAGTGCTGCAGCCGCTATCGTATTGTACCTTATTACAGAGTTTGTGAGTTTGCGTTAGAGTTGCGTGTTCCACGCTGCGCAAGAGCGCTGCCGCCATGCTCCAATCCAAAACCGGAATTTTGGGTCTTCCGGCACGCGCAGTGTGGAACACGCAACGCTGACGCAAACACACAGTGCTCAATACTAAAGCTCACTAATGTTTCACCGGTCTTCCAACGCCAACGAAACTTACTGGAGTGAGCAGACGTGCAAGCAGTTAGAGGTTCCTTTGAATTGCAAAGGCTGAGATTGGCAAAACGACGTCGCGTAAAAATTAAAGAAACTAAACGTTCTAGGAAGACTGGTAATTAAAAAAAAAAGAACGGAATCTGTTTCTTTTTTTTTTTATTGTTTTCTCTTTTTTTATAGTGAAAAAAGGGGGAGGGGGCATTTGGTCTGGAAGGATTGGTGGCGAATTCGGAAGTTTTGCCGACTGTCAAAAGTCGCGACTTTGATAGCACCATACGCTTTAAACAAAATTAATGTAATTTTACATGAATTTTTCAGATTAGCCAGAATATTTTAATTATTATTAGACTATTTTTATTTTATAACTTGTTAAATAAAATGGTGCAATTAGCATCAGTGATGATAATTTGCACACTTTTGATTGTCATACTTGTTCGCGCGTTTGAAATTAGATCATAAGATACAAATTGTATTAGAGCTTGAAAAACTACATATTATCTTAATTTTATTGGATTATTATTATTATTAAGTATTCTTATTATCTTAATTGTATTATTATTATTAATACAAATTTCGGCAATGTACACCCCAATAAACTCCACGATCACAGATATACGCCTACTAACCATAATAGCCTTTCCAGAATTGTCTCATATTTTTTTCTTCTTAGCATATGAAAAACTTTGACATCGTTATCAAAATAGACAAATAGTCAAACACTGGATATAATATAAACTATACGCCACGCGTTGCTCCAAACAAAAAACACACTTCAGCTGTTTGAACCCGATTCCGACTTTGCGTTGTTGTAGTGAGAACAGCGTTTCTTAATTTATGCGTTTTATGAACATAGTCTAAATCCGTCACCCGTGGCGAGATTTTGTAAAATATGGATGGATTCTGTAATTTTTTGTGCTGAGAACAATGTTAAAGCAATTAATCATCTAAATACCACAAAACCCATTAAAAGGACCGCAGTTCATTATTTCACGTGACGATTGTCTGAGCAACAAAAGGCAGCAAGAACCCATAAATATCAGCGTTCTTGTTTTTCAACATATACAATATTTTGTCACCTCTAAGGTGCACCGGA